GGGTATATACAAGGAAACATGCCTCCGTAGGCCAGATGGGCCTCGTACGCATATAGGGTATAATATACACTCACACACCAGACCGAGGGACAGGTGCGCAGCCCGAACTGGCTCGTTCATACCATACGTGCGTATGGAGCAATGTACATGCATATTATACGATGCCATTCGAATTTCACGGCAAGGACACACGCGGAAAAAAAAATGTATGCCCGCATATGGATATTATTATAGTAGACGCGCGTGCCGTGTAATTTATATATGTGTATATGTATGCGCGTGTACCTGTATAAGGATAAACAATGGATCGCGACGCCGGGTGGCTTTTTGCTATTTTCTTCTTTTCCCCCCCCACATCAGCAAATACATATATATATATATACTTACATCCAGAGAGACGAGACCCCCGAAAAATCAGTTCGCTCGCTCGCGTGCGAAATGAATTGCGTCCGCGTCCGCGAACNCCCCCCCCGCGTACAATATACTTACGCGTTGCCTGTTTACCATTTGTGGTGAATAGAGAATAACGTGGGCGATCAATGGACGGGTTGAACGGTATTACGATTACACTCGAGTCACGCAGAGAGTTGTCCCCGTGAGATTGAGTTGTAACACGTACAAGTACCTGTTGATTGCCACGGCAAAGTTCTCGAGGCGATAGTGGCTTAAAATGTTCTGGGATGTAGTTGTGTAATTTTACGAGAGAATAGGTACGTATGGGGGGGTTGAACGAGACCATATTTTGCGTGTACGATAAATAATAATTAACTGGCAGCGTGCAATGGAGAGGATAAATTACGGCGAGTGTTTTTTTTCGCGCGAGGGGACAAGGGGGCCAGCGGATATGACTTTTCCATTGGACAAAACGAGAGTGCTGTTATTCTGATGGATAAAAAGTTTGCGTCGATTATCGCAACACTGTATAAGTATATGCTCCATCGTCTCGATGACTATATCTACATCTTGCGGGTCCCCCACAAGGATACTCAAATAACTTGGTCTCTGTATACGAGAGCATACCTATACACACTACCCAATTGGAGCGCTGAATAATTAAATGAAGATTCTCGGCGTTATACTATACATTATACTTTACTATACAGACATTATACTATATTTCATCTCAATTCCGTTCGTTACGATGACAAAATGTAATGTGTAAGAAAGAAAAAAAAAGGGGGGGAAGGGGGCAAAAAACGCGAGGTGGTTTCGGCTATTGAATAAACGGGTGCACTGCCATACGCGTAGCTCCTAGAACAGAAAATACCGCGGTGGTGTGCGAGGGTATACATGTATAAACAAGAGACAAGACACCCGTGTACACATCATCAGAGGGACAGACACCACACACAAGTCTCCTTGGCAACGAAAAGTATATGTATATATAGCCCGGCCGCGTTTATGCAAATTAGCGGCATTTTTATACGAACCCTCGACCTGACAATAACGCGCGTATGTATAAGCGAGCACTGGCTTCCCTCCCCGGGAAAAAAGGAACCGTTAAAAGTTAAAACCTGCTGTCGTTGTTGCGTGTACACTCGCTACCGGTGGGGTAAAAATTGCGCAAAAAAAAAAAAAAAAAAAAAAAAAGAAAAGAAAAGAAAGGAGACCGAGACGAAGAGAGAAAAAAAAGATATTCCCAAGGTTACAACCCTCTCTCTCTCTCTCGTGCGATTTTTATTTTTCGCAACTCGAGCGACTTAACTCGGAGGGTAGGCCTGATTTCTTTTGAACCTCCGCGCGGGGAGATTCCTTCTTCTTTCAGCTCCTATTTATAGGTACACGCATACGCGTATACACCTCTTGCACGCCTATGGGAATTGATTTCTCATATCCCTCTCTCTCTCTCTCTCTCCCGTGTCCTCGGGTGTGGTATTTGTAGGTACGCGAAATTCGAGCGTGTGTGTATATTTTTGCCACCTCTGTGAATTCGGGTGCGCGAGGGGTAAATCGGTACGTTATACCTTTTTGCCTCGCGTGCGCGTGTTAATACTTACGGGCCGTCGTTTAATCGCCCGCGGGAGTCGCACAATTTTACTGTATAGCCGACGTCTCCCTTTACCCCCCCCCCCCTTGCCAACTAGTATTTCGATAAAATAAAGTATTCGTGATTTGATCCCTGTAGTCACGAGTCTACAATGCCTTCGGCCGAGTGGTACTTTTAAAATAAAGTCACCTGTAACTCTCGCTCGTGATTTTGTAAATTCACCGAATCAAGTTTGCCAAAGCAAAGACGTTGTCTATGGATGGAAGCCTGTACTCATCACAAATAAAACAAAGAAAAAGCCATTACCCTCCATAAAATGCTCATTTACCATATTTCCCCGAAATCCAACGTGGTACAGGCAAGAAAGATAATCGCTCAATCCACAGCCGGTGACTATATATGCCCGTGAAACGTGCACGCAACGCACGAGGGAACGGATTACCTCCGGGCTCTATGAAGCGTGAAAGACGTTAACCGACCCCCGGCCCACCCGAGAAAACGAGAGTCACTCCACGCGTGTGTGCCCCCACCCCGAAGTCAATCGAGTGTACACGTGTAGTTTTGGAAATTCAAACGTTACACCTAAACTGCCGGCCAACACGAAGATGCCGCTTATCGCCATCACCTTTTGCCCTATACCTCGTATGTATCAATTTTACATTGATCGGTATACACTGCTGATGTCATAATTCTATTCGTCTGCACGCATTGATAGGATGTATAGCCCCCCACCCCCGTTTTTAATCAAAACCTTCGGGATCGGGAGGGAGAAAGGGTCGAGTTTACCTACACGAGAGCTAAAATAAAGCCGAGACCCTCGACCCGGCGATCCAAGCATTACCGATCCCTCGTCATAATATACACGTGCAGGGATCGGTCGAACTTTCGCTTCGATTGTACGTATTAAGAGAAAAAGCCGCAAGCACATGGCGAAGGAACCGGGGCGTAAAAGACGATGATATTATGGGGGGAATCGCCGGGGCGTTTGCTCGGTCATGCGGGAGTGTGGAACAAGTGCATCGTTGTTGATAATGGCACACCATTGGCTCAAGGGTCGGGGGAGACAAGACGCCGGTGTGTTTAATACACGGCACGCATGACCTTTACGTTCTTGGCGAGGGTAAAAGACACGGAGGTGCCAAGTCGCCGAGTGACGGGGAACACGTCAAACGCCAGTCCGTAAATTGTACGTCATATACACATAGACGCAAACGCCACTCCTTATACATATATACACTGCACGTACGACATAATATATATATAATGTGGTGCATAAGGGGGTATACGTGTATATATAAATATGCTCTCTGGTGTTTTGTTATGGGTACCCGTACATGGGTATTAAAGAGGCGGGTGGTTCACCTGTTTTGTTGCTTTTTTTTCTCTCTCTCTCTCTTCTGTTTCCCGTATGCCGCGGCAGGTGCAATCCACTGTTGTCGTCTGGCGGTGCAGTCTTAACCACTATAATATCTATATGCTACATGTAGTTTCTCTTTTCCTGTTGTTTTTGCCGTCCCACGCTATATCTCGTCACGTGCTGGCAATAATTACCGGTCACTCCTGAGTCAAGAGATAGAAGACGAAGAAGAAAAAAAAGGACGCGACAGACGCGTAGGAGGAATACGTTACGCTACACCTACTCGCGGACACGCAACTTGACCGAGTTTCTCTCAAACGCAAGCGGGGGTGTGGGTTACCCTTACACGAACACGCAAAAGACGGAAAAAAAAGGAGAGAGGGGCCAAGAAAGAAAAAAACTCGCCGTTGTTCGTGATGCGCCGCACGCGAGGCAGACACGGCAAAATATAGGCGCATGCATGTAGGCTCGCGAGGTCGTTGTTCTTCTTCCGTCCGCGCCTCTTTTCTTTTCTTTTTTTTTTTTTTTCTCTCGAAAAGCACCGGCAGATATCGGGATGTAAGTACGTACNAAAAAAAAAAAAAAAAAGCCAGCCGGGTGAGGAGAAGATGGAGGAGGAGGACCAGCGCCCGAGCGAAAGATGCACAAAAATGTGCCCAAGAGCTTCCCCTGCGTTCCCCCTTCATCCCGCATCGCCGAGCACCTCGCTTGCCGGACGACCAAAAGAATCTTCTCTCTCTCGCTCGTTCACTCGACTTTTTTCCGTCACTCTCTGCCGCTGCCGCTGCCTTTTTTTCTTCTTCTTTTTTTCCTTCTCTTATTTCTCTTCCTCCGAGAGACTCTCCCTCCCGAATATTTATGTATATACATGGATTCTTTTTTTTTTTTTTTTTTACATATATATCTTCCTCCCCCATCTGTCTCTTGTGCAGCGTCTTGTTCGCCACCTTCCACAACTCATGTACGTGTCTCCCTGCACTGGCTTTTTGACGACTTTGTCGCCGTTGGAACGGATGCCACTCGACGCTCCTTGCGTTTTTTCTCACTCCTTTGTATATTAGAGAAAGATAGAGTTACGAAGAGGAGGAGGAAGTAATTCGAGGTTTGCGGTCGATGTGACTTTTTCCTCGATTCGGATTGAGCATTGAGCGAGAGGGTGTGCTCATCGAGTCGTTTTTACTATCATTACTTGGGAAGATTAATGGGGCAATGGCACGGTAACGTTCTACCGTGGGAATTCTCAGGATTTCAGTTTTAAATGACAAAAAAAAAAAAAGGATTGCGCTCTGATGCGTGTACGTAATGCTCACTGAAGAAATTTCAAAACTTTTCGGGCGCCGGTGTGTTTGTTTTCCAGATCTTCGACTCGGGAGCTTGTGCCATCCCTTCCATCCTCGTGGTGGAATAAAATCCCCCCCCCTCCCAAATACTTGATCCTGTTTGTCTTTCGTGTGAAAAAATCATCCTCGTAAAGTAACTCCAAGTGTGTCGAAAATGCACGATTAAAATGCACTGTTGCCGTTACTCTTTTTTATAAAATGTTCTCGAAACATTTATTAACGCTACTGTGATGTATATTACTTGTGCAATAAAAAACAAAAATACGTATGAACCAAGAGCAAATCAAACAAAATAAAATGGATATTTTTTTCAGAAATGCTAAAGTGGACGGTGTCCCGATCGTTGTCGACGGCGAGCTCGACACCCCACGGCCCGGGTGGTGGCAAAACGACCCGCCGGCCGTTCCGTGACCTGTCCAACACGCCACCGGCGGGATCGAGCAGCTCGCGGGCATCGCTGTCGCGCCCCGGCAACCCCAACGACCCCACAACCAACAACCCGAGCACCTCGACGCGCCCCAACAGACGATCGACCCCCGGTGTCAAGCGCACCCCCGCCAAGCGCAAGAGGTGCCGCAGCCAGGGAAGCGACCTCCGGGGCTACTTCCAGGTAAGCGTCGTCCGTTTCCCTCTCGTCCATTTGAGACGCAAAAATAAAGCGAGCATCGCCGAATCGCAGGCCACGAAGCCCAGCAGTCGGTCGGGCAAGCGGCTGTCCCAGCGCAACAGCAGCTCACCGGTGGTCGTCGAGAGCTTCTACCAGAGCACGCCGAGGGTCGACACGGACATCGGGCCGCTCATACCGAGCCGCGCGCGCTACCCCGTTAGCTGCAGCAACAGCGTCACCCTGCCCACGGATCCTCAAACCATGCTGCCTCCGCGCGGTTGTGGAGGCGCGAGTGGCGCCATCTTCCCCGCCCAGCAACAGCCCAACAAATTCCAGTCGCACGTGTCCGACTTTTTCCAACAGATCAGCATGGCCACCAGCCCCGAGGACATCATAGAGTTCGAATCTCTGCCCTTCGCCCACAACAGCCGCAGGTACGCCCTGAGGAACGAGGAGAGGCGGCGCCACTGTACGCCCTGTCTCCCGCCCAAGCTCGCAAGAATAACAAGGCTCCACGCCAGGATCAAAACGCCCCATCACAGCGCCACGGGAGCCGAGCGGTGCGTAGACGGAGAACTCGAGGACGCGAGGCAAACGCCCCTGGCTGGGAAACTCTTGAGTCTCAAGCTCGACGCGAACCCGGCCGAGGAGAACGACACTGCTCTTCCGGGGACCGTCAGCGAGTACGTTGTTGTTGTTGCTTTATCCCCCCCCCTGTCCATCAATTGGCATGGTGTAACTTTGATCTACTATAGGGATTGGTCTTTGGGCAGGAAGCGGGAGGCAAACACCTCGGGGGCCAAGAGCGTGGCGGAGATCCTCCTCGGGGACTCGGCCGAGCGGCGAAAGGTGCTCGGCTCGGGTGCTCGAAGCGAACCGGAGGAGGAGGAGGAGGAGGAGCACATCTACGAGACGATAGACGAGGGCCCGGCAGCGAACGTCACCCTGGCGATGGAGCTGGACGAGAGCAAGGCGGCGCACAACGACAGTAGCGTGTCCTCGGCCAGCCAGCTCCTGGAGAACCCGTCGCCCCTATCCTGGCAGGGTAGCTCGGACGCGAAGCTCGCCGCCGGGGAGTTTCCTTTGAGGCGCCAACGTGGCATTCGCAGGAAACGACAGGCAAGGGACAAGGACGGCACGGCAAAGTCGGAGGTGGTCCAGGGCAAGAGACCCAGACGCGAGGACGACGAGGACGCGACTGACCCAGAGACGGTAGGGACCTTTTACCTTTTTACGATTTACGCTCGAGGATGGTAAATCATATATCTGTCTTTGTTTCTCCTAGAACTTGCGTGCCGCTCACCATAGCCTCACGGACGCCCCGATGTCAGCGGAGCTTCGGGACCCCGTGCCGGAGGGGAACCGTAGGCGTCGAGAGGCGATTATGAGCACGAGTACCTGGGACACGGACAGTTTAAAGTCCTCGCTGCTGGACTCGTTCGCCACGTCGATGACGACGACCTCGGCCATATGTACCCCCGAGGCGCCCCTCGTCGCTACGGTGCGACGCTGCCTCAAGTACAGTCCCGAGACGCCGTGCCCCAGTGCCGAGTACTCTGGCTCGTCGTCGAGGTGCAGCAACGCCAGCAATTGCCTCGCCGGATCTGGTGGCAATGGCAGCGGTGGTGGCAGCAACAGCAGGAGCTCGATCGAAATCGCCTGCTTTGCCCAGAACGATCGGATACACATTAGGGGTGAGTAATTGTTTTTTTTTTTTTTTTTTTTTTTTTCTTTTTTTTACCATCACCTTGTGTCGAATATACTTTTTGGATGTGCCCCTCCGATCGAGGAAGATGTAATTACTTTACACACCCATCCGATTGACAAAGAAACAGACTGCAACAAACGCCCCCCTACAGTGTACGCCGACCGATCTAAAACAGCCAGACCGCGTGGATTTTTTGGTTCCAAAAACACCAAGCTCCACTGCGCCAAAAACTACCCTCGCGGCGCAATACGCTCATCGCTGTTGCTCCAAGCGTTTTGGGTCTACTCCTTCGTGCAAAATCTCTTTTCCCCTCAACTGCCAACGTACGAGCGTGCTCACATACATGAAACGCGCGCCCGTAAATTAACATGCCTTAGACGCGATTAGCATATTTGCACGACAGTGGCCCTCATACCTTCGTATGCCCCCCCCCCCCCAAAAAAAAGGAGCTAGAGGGACTGCTTGAAAAAAAAAGAACCCTTTCGCGAGATTCCTTACCAGTTTCGCGACTCCTCGGCCATTGTCGTATCTTAAAACGCGCATCCTCTACGTGTACACCTCGAAAATCCATTCGTCTTGTTTCCGTCCGTCCAGACTCCCCTTTCCCCTCTCCCCCCCCCGGTTTCTAAGCTCACTCGTTCGTTCGTCCATTTACATTTATCCCCCCCTCCTTCCATCTACATATAGCCATTGATTAAGTCTCTTCAATCGTGCAAAGCATTAAAATTAACGTGCCTACAGGCATGTACATATAAAATAATACCCCACGTGTTGAGGGGAAAAAAAAAACACCTGGCGTTGGGGAACGATAAATTTAGCTTTCACGTGGTATTCTTAAGCTCTCGTGTGTACCATTATGGGCGATAAACCGTAACTACCTGCATACATACACACACACACACGGAGTATAATTTTTATTCTCCCTATACGGTTATAAAAGAAAACTCTCCTCCGCTTCGAGTAGTACGAATCGAGTTTGGTCAGCCCGTCCACGACGTACATAACTGCCGTTGACTCGGGACTTTGATCAATCAGCCAGCTCTTATTTATTTTACGTTTAGTTTTACTTAATTTGACACGATATTGCTTTCTAAACGGGGGGTGTTGCAAAAAAAAAAATATATATATATACATCGGCTCCACTTGCAAGATCCCATTCAGCACTGGAGCAGCCGCGAGTATATAGCTTCAGCATCAGCGGGAGCTGCATCCCTCCCGCGCTTCGTCCCCTCATTCCCATATCGATCGATATAACGTAGCGGTTGGAGAACAAGGGGGGAGGAGGAGGAGGAGGCCCAGCCAGCTCGGAGCTACATCCCTGCGAGCGTCGGCGCGCGGACATGCGCTCGTGCCGAGTCCTCTCCTCTTTCTCCGCCAGTTAGTATACAGTGCTCTATACCTGTACACCCTCGTGGGAGCACACGGATATACCGAGCGTAAAGGCAAAAGTGTGGAACGCGGGGGTTTAGGTATATTTACCAGTGCGCAACTGTGCAGTTCCGAGAGCAGAGAGTCCCGTGGCGTGTAGGTGGCCAGATCGGTGGCGGCCGTCCGTCCACCGCGGAGATACCGCTCCGTCCGTGAGTACTTCTGTCGCGTAAAGTGCGCGTACAAGCCTCGGTTTCTCGGTTAGTGGGCTCCGGTTGTTTTAACCCCTGTGTACACGTATGCATCCACACACATACGCACGTGTATGTATAAAGGAAGAAAAAAAAAAGCAGAGTAGAGTACTCGCGGAGTGTGTGTGTGGGCGCACGAAATTGTGCTGCCGCTGCAAGAAGGGAGAAGAAGAAGCAGCTCAAGGGGAAGACAGAGAGAGCTCTCGTCTCCTTTTTCCCTCTGCCGATGCTTCCCTCTGCTAGAAGCTGCCTTGGTGTATTTTTTTTTTTCTTTCTTTTTTTTCTTTCTCGATCGCCCGTGTGAACGTGTTATTTGTACAGCTTGTTGCCTTTGCTGCGTATTCCTATTTTCACTCCTTTGCCACTGGGTCCCGGCCAGTAATGTTCCAGTAAGCAATGAAAAGTTGGTCAGAATACTATAAGCACTCGCGTCCCCCGAGAGTAATGAAATCACCCGAACGACACTTGCAACGTGTCCCCTCTTTGGACGGGATGGCGATAAAATGAGCTTAACAGCTTCTCCACTTGCCAGATTCCTCTCTCCGGATGCCCTCTTTGAAATTACTGCAGCTCTCGAGTAGCTTTTTTTGTGGTACCTGGTTGTGACGAAAAAAAAAAAAGAAAAAAAAAATGAAAGTAGCACGTGCGCGCTTCAAACGACGTAGACGAGGCTGTGACAGATCAGCTAAATTTGCCCCCCTCTTCGCGCGTATAGCTCACACGTAGCGAACGATAACGTGTCAAGTGGCCCTTTGCGGGCGAAAGAGAAATTTAGCTCGCGGGCTTATCTGTGTATTTTCGAGTAGTGTGTACTGTATATTGCACGCCAGACGGGACGTGTATGCTCGAGATGGGGTGCGAAAAAAAAAAAAATTAAAAAAAAAAAAAAACGTTTTAGTCCTATAGTAGCGCGTCCGATGGGGGATTGTCGTTGAAATGATAGACTGGTCTGCCCCTCCGAGTGGACTTTTAGAATTTGATTCGTTGACTCAACCTTTTGTATCTCGCGTTTGAAAGAACAATAGGTATACATCGGGACAATGCAACACTACAACAATATGAAGGGACATGGTTAAAATTGAGCGAGCGAAAAAACAAGTAGTACGAGTCAGTGTGCGCTCAGACGGGCTTTCCTATTCGTAGTTTTATTTTATTTTTATTTATTTATTTTTTTTGTTTACGTTGAGACAAAATGAAAGAATAAATATCCCCAACGATCGACGATTAGGTAACGAGTTGTATACGTTATCGGTCAGCCGCGCATATTTACGTAATCACGAGCTCCGACGCGCGGTGGCACATCGACCGCACCAAGCCGGGGCTGCGTTGTGTCGAAAAAAAAAAAAAAAAAGGAAATTTGATTTTCGAGCACATGGCCAACGGGATTGTTCAAAAACTGTAGGCTCCGCTTGGAAATCGACGTTATGTAAAGTAGATCCATCGATTGTTAACGGACGGAGGGACGGAAAGGGGTAGGGCTCCTTTTGACACGGTTACGATGGCGCAGTACTGTGTGTGTGTGTTTATACGACCAAATTCTGTTTATTGCAGTCCAATCGTGTACATGGATTTTGCGTCGAGCAGAGGGGAAAAGGGAGGTAGAAACGCGTGGCGATTCGTTACGTTACTCGATGATCGTTGCGCTATAAAAAACGAAAAATATAGTTCCACCTACACGTTCTATCGTGCATGTTTTTTTTTTTAATTTTTTTTATTTTACATTATACATTATAGACGACGACTGAAATCCCGAGTTTGTCTACCACTTGACCGACGTGGTCACAATAACAATACTCATAGACACACCTACAGAACAAAATTGGTAGTAGACAAATAAGGTGAATAGAGAATAACTTTTACGTGCGACTGGACACGTGAAATGGAACACAATACGCAACTCCCGCACATCCAAAATAATAACGCTCAAGACGCAAGGGTGATGACGAATAAAGTGAAAAGACAGTGCTGATTTTATCGGTGTGTCGTTGTTTTTTGTGGTGTGCAGTGATAAGGTGCCGGGATCTGCGTCGCGCCTACGAGGGTCCGATCAACGCATACGTCAAGGCGAGCATAAAGGACCCACGGAGCGGCGAGGGCTGCGTCAAACGCACGGCGGTGCATCGCGCCACTCCGAACCCCGTGTTCAACGAAAGCCTCGTTTTGCCTTGTCCACCGGCTTACGACAACCACTGCGCGGCCAGGCAGGTCTCGCTCGACATCGCCGTCTGGCACCGCGACCGCAGGGCAAGGTGAGTTTACTTTTTCTTCTTTTTCTTCTTTTTTTTTTTTTTTTTTCCAACTGAAAAGAGTTCAAGTTGGACGCGTTACTTCCGCAAAGGAAAGTTGGGGAGAGTTGCATTCGCAATTAACCGAAGGCGCTTGTTTCTGTGTACACGCGTATCTGATGGACAATTAATCCAAACTCAAGACTATGAGTGTACTAAACTTTTCGCCGTTTCCGAGAGGAAATAATTTTCGCAATTACGTACGGACCAAAGGGTGTGAAACTTTCATTGGATTGAAACATCAATTGCGAAGCTTTTTTTTTATTTTGTTTCTTTTGTTTTTCCCTACAACCGCTTGGTCCCTAGTGGTCCTTACGTGCAAAGAGTACCAATTAAGCACTCGACCGCAACATATTTAAATTCGCGTTATTAATGGCACAAAATGTCCACTCGAGTGCCAATTTCATACACAATTACGTGAAGATTTTTTTTTCACTTGATTCAAAGGTAATAATAACATCCAGGTTACGAGGTCGCTTTGCGCGCACCCGACACTTACCCGAAAAAGAAAAACAACTTCACCCGCGTACTCACACTGCTGGTGGATTAAAAATTTCACTCCGGAAGCTCCGGCAAAGCCGCTGGTCCCTCCCATTTTTTTTTTCGTACCGTCTCGTGTCCTAAAAAATTTACAACTCGGAGCTGCAGCGGAAAAACGTACAGTTTTGCAAAAGGAAAAAAAAAAAAAAAAAAAAAAAGAATACAAGTGAATGCTAAAATGATACGCTCACGATTTCGCTGTTTCCTTGCACCGTGAAAAGGCTTACCAAAGCTTAAACTCTCGAGGGGGACCACCGCGTTCCCGAAAAGTCACCGCAACAAAGAAAGAAGAGCAGTTGGCTCGCCACGGCCGACATTCCGCTAATTCGGAGCAAAAAAAAAAAAAAAACTGTGCTGCGTTACGTTCGCTTGTACGAAAATCCTCCACACGAGGAGCCGGTTCATGGTACGTAAAGCCACCCCATAAATATGCGTCGTCCAACACACACTTACACGTGTGGTATGCAAAGAGCAAAACTCAAAGGATCGAGCTATATATCGATCTGTATACACATGTGCACGAGTCGGCCAAGGATGCGCGCAACGCGATCATCGCCGTCTCTTCCTGACGTCGCGATCGCCTATATGTATATACAACGCAGTAGCACTTAACGATAATAGTATACCCGCGTGTGTGGCCGCGCCCGTCTACGTCCACGCATACGCGACGCGCTTCCTCGCGTACTATTGTGTGCATATATATAACACCTCTACGTATACGGTTCTTACTCGGTGTGGCTGTACTACTCCGGCAACAATGTACGTGTGTGTTCCTCACCCCTTTGGCCACTGTGTCGTTGCACACTATACGTATGGACATACACTCGTATAGCGCCAGTGTCCGTTCGACCGCGTCGGTGCGTGGTATCGGAAGTTCACAGCCATACGAGACTCGATACGACTGCAAATGAAGCTCCGTTAGCGCGAGGGGATTGAATTTTTTTTTTTTTTTTCCGTGCTGTTGTTCCCCGGATTGTCCCCTCGATGCTGGCGCGGAAGTTAGCCAAACGCCGAGGGCGCAAAGTGTACGTATATATATATATATGTTTGTTCATTACCGCGGAGATTATCGTGTTTCCTTTTTCATTTTGCACTTGGCCCCGGGGGGACCGGCAGTCACTTGCTCGATTGCGAATACATACCACGCTGTTTTTGTCCGCTGGTGCAATCGGATTTTCGTTATACATTGGGGGGGGGGGAAAGGTGTTTTAGTTTGGATTGGATAGTTTTTTGTTTTTGTTTTCGATACCTCAAAGTGTGTAGCAATAGCGTAGCTGCCGTCGGTACTCGTTGGTGTAGCTTTGGTATCTATATTTACGGCCGATCGATTTTTCCACGCGCTATACAGGTGGAAATGTACGTGTTCATCGGGTTGATGAATCGGTCGATCGGGTACTTCATCAGCCGCTTGCTCCGCGTTAATGTTACAAGCGACGGTGATCCACGCGAGGAAGAAAATGGGATTATAACTGGAGGTGGTTATTTTTTCTTTATTGAGCCCCGAAAAACAGGCTCGGGACATGTATAGTATCGGATTTTCATCCCATCTTTATTGGGCAATAAAGGGGCCGTGGAAGGCTAACTGCGGCGTTATCGTGGCCGATGTGCATCCTTGAAACGAACGATTTATACGCCCGAGTGTTTTACTTTTTTTGGTTCGCAATAGATGTACGAGCAATTGTCCTCGGACCTTTATACGTATAAGGCCGATTTTCGATGGATGGAATCACCGTTAATTATCCCTCAGCGTCCTTGTATTTTTTTTTTTTTTTTTTTGACCCACAAATTACACGTGGAGCATAAAAAAAAAAAAACAACGTATGATACATTCCATTGGCTGTGTATGCTTGTAGGTAAAAAATCGATACAACGTATGTACGTGTAATTGGAAAATTGCGGCAATTTTCAAACGACACGTCTTAGGGACTAAAATAACATGCACACGGTACCGAGTAAACTTATCAGTTCGAAAAGACATAACGACCCAATTTTAAGGATATATATCGTCACACATGGTGTGCCTAAGATATCAATAGTTCGCACCGAGACCGTAACAGTATATAAAGCTCGTCTTGCGAAAGCACAGCGTGAAAGCTTTCGTGGGTGGTGGGGGGGGGCTGGGAGGGGAATCGATTCTCGCGGAGTTTGCGCACACGACTGGCGCCACGTGCTGATGCTATTTTTCTCTCTTGGTACACGTATTATATTACAGTCAGCGCCCAGCCAACCGGAGATTTCTTTTTTTTTTTTTTTTTTTTTCTTGACTGCTGCGGTACGGTAAGTCTGCTTCTCGTGGTCCCTTTTTTTTTTTTTTTTTTTGGCTCGTGATATTCGCGGCTTGGAGCCCGGGAAATCTGTTTCTTCTTACTCGGTGGTCTTGAATTTTTCACGAAAAAAAGGGTTTATTTGGCCATTGGAATGAAAGCCGATTTATTATGCATGGAGTTTTTTTTTAACATTTCACGGGTAGAGTGATGAGGAGGTGTACAATGGTTTGAATGAAATTGTTTGGTGAGCTTGGAATAAAAGCTCTTATATGTTTATTTATAATTGTCATCTTGACGCAAATAGTAACAATAATGTTTTGATGGTCATTTTTAAAGCAGCTCGGTTTATTTACTTTAATTTCATCAACTTCATTTTTATCGACTGGTGTTTGATTTTTAAATGATTAGAAAAACAAAAATGCCGTTGTGTTTATTTTTGTAACAAAAAAAAAATTCAAACTATTCAATCCATATGTATAAAATAAACATATCAGTGAAATTGATAAAGCAATAAAAAGAAACTATCGCTCGGCACACATTAACGATAGTTTCTCACCCAAATTGTTTTGTGTTTCAAAAATGAAGTATCATCGAATCAACATGAAAAATCAACGAAAAAATAGATTAAAAATCAAACTCCAACCACCTTAATCATTGTGGAGTGGAAAAAAAAAATAGTAATAATTAGTGACGTTGGCATAATTTTTCTGTAATATTAATTTTGACGCTCAAAGGAGTGCTGGATCAATCGACCCAATCCAGTCAACAGAGCCCACAACGGTATACCCAATCAAAAAACCCCGACACAATCGTCAAACCCATTCGAATCTCAGATATCGCCCGAAAATTATCCAACCAGAAACGTCATCCGCACCCTCCCGAAACCACCCTGTAATCGAGACCTACAGTAATCCTCTAATGGCTCCACCTAAATCCGCACCCATTTCCATGAAGCGGCACACACCTCCACCCACCCATACATATACGTATCGGCCTCACTCGCGTGACGTGAACTCGCGCGCGCTAGAGCTTTCGCGAGCTTTTTCCGTTCTAAATTTCATTAACATTCTCCGTACCACTTTTTCTTCCGTTTTAATCAATTTTTTTTTTCTTTTTTCTCTTTTCCAGACGCAGCGAGCTGTTGGGCTGCATGACGCTGCCGCTGCCCCTTTCGCAGGACAAGGTGAGTCTTTTGCCTATACGTACACGTGTGGGTATACATGTATGTTTTCTCGAGCTTGCTCGCATTAGCCGTATATGCAAATGACCCCGCGTGCAGTCCCCGGAGCTTTTTTTGCCCATCAACATTGGGATATCCTCGTCCTTCGCCGAAAGAAAACGACGAGGCAGCTGTAATCCCCAAGTTACACATTTTCTTGTAAACTTGATTACCCCGTCCATGCCCCGCACGCCACTGGCTTTCGAGCTTAATCCCGGGATTTTTAGTTTAAAATGTATAGCCGAGCGTTTTGTAAGTTTACAAGAGAGAGAGAGAGAGAGAGAGAGCTTTCGGAAGTAAATAATTTAGCTGGACGTTGAGTGAAAATTTCCTCCGCCAATGACGTGATTTTAACCAACTCTTCCGTTTATTACGAAATCTTGTTAGCCAAAGTCACTCTTTGTCGCGTGCACAGGTGCAACTCTCGGAAACAATCAGCACGCACCAAGGGTTGTTTGTTTTTTTTTCTCTCTCTCTCTCTCTCTCTTGGGGGCACTTATTGTCACCCCCGTCCCCCTTTTCCGGGTCGTTTACAACATCGCACGCACGTCAGGTCGAATCGTAAGACTTCGCCCGATCAAGGCGGCCACGGTCAAGGCTAAGCGGATTTGCACGCTCCGCGGCGACCCGCGGCCTATACACACTCCACCCTCTCGCCCTTCCGCCCCGTCGTCGCTGCATGTATATACGTGTGTACACATCACGAACGCGGAGGAGAGCGCGTTTTGCCGCAGCCCCGCGACCAACGCCAGTTGCGTTTCCGCCTCTGCTCGGGCAGCTCTTCCCCCGGGGGCCGAGGATTCGTGTTCGACGCCTCGCCATGTGAAACCGCCGCGATGATTGTCGTCGCGATATACTGCATGGCCTTCCTCGTGGCCGGGGTCCTGCTCAGGATCTTCATGATCCTTTGAATTTCGACGCGCGTATATTCACTCCCCCCTCCCCTTTTTTTTTTTTTTCTCTCTCACATTGCCAATAATCGCCTTACTGCACGGTTGTTCCGTATCCTTACGTATAATGAACGTATATATATATACGTGTATCGCTTTGATCTCGTTAAGCGATAAACGAATATGGAAAGTATCGGTTGTCGAGTCGCGAGTATATACACTTTTGATTTCGTAAACGGCTTATACCAAACGGCTTTGCGATGATCTGCCCTGCAAGGTAAACATTTGTTGTTTGTCTCTATATACTTACTCTCTAAATTTGAAATAATCACATGTATACGAACTTTTTTTCAAAATCGTGCATGTATACATTATTTTAACAACGAAACATTGGATGCCATTATTTCAAAGTTGTACATACTTATTCGAACTAGTGAATATTCACTGTGAAACACTAAATAATCACTATTTCTATAACCAAGTTAACATTTCACTGTTTAAATTAGTTGGTAAACTTATTGTTGGAATTACTTGAAATAACGTGTACGGGTTGTTGTACTTGGATCCTCATCAATTGGATATTTAGAATTGAAATTTATATGTACTGGGCGCGAATAAACGACCTTACTTTTTAACTATTTGGCCAGTAAAAATCTTGTTCACTCACGCAAATAGTGAAATTCTCACTATATGAAATTTAGAGAGATGGAAAGTACCTATGTATGTGTGTGAGACGTATGTATAGTGTAAAAGTAAGAAAAATAAAATTGAAAAAAAAAAAAAACAGGAAGCGACATGGCATCCTCTGGAAGCTGGCTCGGGACGAAACACGAGCTCAGCACCCGCGATCTACGGCATGCAGCAGCAGGATGCGGTGGGAGGTGGTGGTGGTCGGGGCTCGGTCGTCTCCCCGCCGCTGTCGAACAGGGACGGCGCCGAGTCTATCGTAACAGATAACAACAACGGCAGCGCCTCGGGCCCCACGGACGATCTCACCTATCTGAGGCACTTGGAACTCGAGCCGCTCGATCCGCTCACGGGTCTGCCGTTGCATCCCGGGTTCACGGCCAGGGGCGGTAGGACGCCTTGCACCGTTACGAGGCGGCTCGTCAGGCCGGCTGGTAACGCCAATCAGGTGGGTTCAGGATTTGCTTTTTTTTTCTTTTTCTTTTTCCCCCAAACTACGTCTTTCGAGCAATTTTGTACAGTATAAGACTGAGGTTTTTTTAACCAGATCGGGCGTTTTCTCACCATTGTATAGTAGCAGTCGTTTCGAATTTTAATAGAAATATCGAGTACAATTTTTTTTTTTTTTCTTTTTTTACTTAAAAAAGATTCTGGATGGTACGCTCGTGGTACATGAAATAATCATGCATATGATTTCAAAGTAAAATACGTATTGGAAATTCAATGCTTATACATATTCACGAAGTGAAAACTATTAATAGTTTTTCGGATATTCTTTAAATTTTTCAAGTGTATGAACAAAACTGTTGATGCAATATTATAAAAGAGAAGTATTTTATTTCATAAAATAAAACAGATTCCAAGTTTTCTGTGCGTTGCCATTGTGTAAATGTCGCTCCTAACTTGTTATACTTTGAGTATTTTTAAATAAGCCGCGCAGTTTAAGATTTTACAAGTAAAGAAGTTTGAGATAATCGATTTAGTTTCTTTGTTAAATTGTCAACGACTGAGCACGCAGTTAGTAATTTGGTTTAAAAAAGAGTCCTCAGTGTTGGTGGGATTGAAAAAAACAAGCTTAGAAGAACCAGAAATAAAAAAAAAATGTATCTCTCGTATACGTCACACGGAAGCTTTCAATACTCGTGATTTTTAAACTGATATGATTTAATTCCATTTATAATAAATTAATCTCTTAATTTAAATAATACATGATGCACGCGAGCTTCTTGAATATCTACCCGATTGAGCGTATAAATGCATCTATTCGATTGATGTTAAAATTTATTATCCGAAAGGCACAATTAAACAGTTGAAAACTGAATTTAGTAATTCAGAGCCATGCATGTAATTATTTGGAATTGATCGATGCATCGGATAATTGGGCCAATTTCGATATTACTCGGATCGATGATTGAACGCTCGTTGGTTTGTTGAAACGACCTATTAAATACTTACTTCTTCGTTACCAGCCACGTAACGAATGGCCCAAAAAATAACGCCAAAACGCAATGGATCGAAACGAGGTAACTAATGATTCATAAAAAAAATGTTAAAAAGCAGGTGCCATGGGGCTTCTCCCTGTCGTGGGGCAGGCCACCACGAGTGGAGCGCGTGGACCCGGGCAGTCCAGCGGAGCGCTCCGGCCTCCGACCCGGGGACTACGTGGTCTTCGTGGAGTCGTCGAACGTGGTCACACAGCCCCGGGACGACATCCTCGAGCTGATCCAGGCGGCGACGAGCCAACTGGTGCTCGAGGTCTACCGGCGGGGCGTGCACGGTCACGCCGTCACCAGCACCGCGTCGCACCGGCAGAGCTCGGCCAACGCTGTTTTGCAGGCGCCACCGGCTTTGTTGCCGCCAACTGCGCTCGGCGGGGCTCCCGTTGTCACTCATCCCACGATCGCATTCACAGCAGAGGTCGGTACGGGCGTGCTCGTCTGATATTTGTCGCACGTCCAGGGGGGTCTGTGTCTTTTTTTCCCCCCTTTTTTTTTTCCATTCGCTCTCATTCCCAAGACTATTCGCGCGAGATGTTAACGCTACCGGTGATACAAACTGACGATAATATTATTACGATTTTAGTATTTTCAATTTATTCTTGTTAAAGTTAACTATGGTCTGATTATACGTTTAATTTGTATGTTTAGCGATTTATGTTTTTTATTTATTAATTTTTTTTTTTTTTTTTTTTTTTTTTTTTTTTTTTTTTTCACGCAACGGACATATTATATTTAACTTTACCAAAGAGACAATTGAAAACAACGTATACGTAACTGTAGACAAAAAGTAATGTACTTTAAAACAGAATTTTCAAATATTTTTTGGATTAGATGGTTGGAAAGTGTGCGGTTAGAGACTTGGTTGTTCATTATGAGAATTCGAGCCTGAAATTGAATCAAGTGGCCTTGAAGTAGTGTAATGGATCCAAGAGCCATTAATTTATTATAAAAGAAAAAAACCAATTTGGAATAGTTACGAAATTCTTTTTAATAAATTTTTGATTGAAATGCTGCCATAACTTGGGCAAAACAAGGTTTTCACACAATTTCTGTGATCGAGGGTAGAATAGACGGTAAAAATATTTTACCATAGTAATTAAAAAAATTTTATTTGAATGGAAATTTATTGTCTGACAATAAGTAGTTTAATCTTTTTTTTTTTCCATAATACACTTTTCAATTATGGTAGTGACAATTTTCTCTTCGATGGATTGTTAATTTTAAAATTATTTTAATTTAATGATTATTATTTATTTCATGAAATATTGATTAATCGTTGAGGAATCGGTCATTTAGAAAAAAAATCATAGATAGCATTTATAATTTAAGTTGATTAATTCATTAAGTTTTGCCAATGGTTAAATATTGTTTTCTACTTTACAATATTATCCAGGCTTTTTTGAGTCATAGTTAATAATTTGCGTAAACTGTGTACGTGGTTTTGTACAAAAAGGCAGCTAACTAGTTTTATGTTATAATTATTAGCTTTGTTTGACGATTAGGCAATTTTTTTTTGTAGCAATAACGTATTTCTTTCAGAAAATACAAAAAAAAGATACGCTTGTATATGATTGTAAAATCATATATAAAAAAAAAAATTATATACGCTTTCATTAGCCATCGTGGAGTGCTTAAGCTGAAAGCTGTAAATTAGCTCGTAAATATCAGCCATTATTTGTTGATGATAATCTCTTTGGGGGGAAAAAAAATCAAGGACCATACAAGCTGAAGCCAATGATTGTCGGGTGTGTTGTAAAAAAAAGAAGAAAAAAAAGAAAAACCAACCCTTACCCTTTTGATTTGACTCCAATTTACGTTTATCATCGCACTATTATTATTATTTTTGCTTCACATTAATGTACCCATGTCATGCGATTATTCGCGCGAGCAAGAGCTTATTACTACTAGTTATTTAATTATTGTCGTCATTATTTAGCTATCGCTTAAATTTAGCAAAATTATTATTATTATTTTTTTTCCATCATCCAGCGTTATTATACATAATTAATGCGTTTATTATTTTTTATTACGTGTTATGTACGTGACTGTGTTGAACGTCGATGTGTGTAAATTCGTGACCACGTGTCTGTGCGTTGTATTTGTATATGTGCGTGTACAGTATATATATATATATATTATACGAGAAAAAGCGAGATGATATTTTGTTCTGTAAACTTGGCTTTATTTGTTGGCAACAAATTTTGTTTTAAACCTACACCGCTGTTTTTATGTTTTTTATTTCAACCCCACATCACCCCCCCCCCCGTACCCATACTTCCTCCGCACCGTTCATCATTATTCCTCGCACGTTTTTTTTTTCACCATCGATTTTGTTCAAGTGAAACCAACGGCCCGTGCTTCTTACTACCAATATATATGCTGGTATTGTGAAAAAAAAAAAAAAAAAAAAAAAAAAAATGTCCCTCAGCAGCCATTCCCGAGCCTGTCGGCGGACGCGTCCCCGGAGGAGGAGCTCGGCGTCCGCGAGGCGCGTCACTGGTCGTGCCTGAAAAACGGGCAGACGCGCTTCATGGTCCCACTGACGGAGCACCGCGACGTCCTCGCGGCCTCGGACTACCTGATCCTCTTCCAGAACCTCGACGAGCTGCTCAAGCTGTCCGAGGAGCTGTTGGACGAGGGCAGTGGCGTCGACAGTTACCTGTGCCGCGTGCCCCGCATCACCGCCACCTACCGGCGCTACCTGAGTGGGCTGCAGAGGGCGTGCTGCCTGCTGGTCGCTCTCCGGAAAAACGCCGCCTTTGCCAAGATCGTGTGCGAGCCCGCGGTGCCCAGGAGGCGCAAGCCCGACCTCACAGGCGTCCTCCTACAGCCGCTCGACCACTACAGGTGATTCTTTTTTTTTTTTTTTTTTTTTTTTCCCCACCTACGGTTTATCATTCCGTTGCTGGAATGAAAATCTCTGATATTTTAATTGGGCGCCGCGTTGGAGTCCATGTCGTCGGAAATGGAGAATTCGGGAGACATTTGAGTTGTACACTGAGACAAAAAAAAGGGGATTTTTACTTTGGCCAACCTAATTTTTACCATTTCATTGCTAGACAGTAATTTATATTGTACAAACAGTAAAAATCACTGTGCTTGCAACAAAAATTACTCTTCTAAACATTAAAAATCATTGTTCAAAAATAGTAAAAAGGACAGTATACCAAATTACCATTCTAGCGCAGTAATTTTTATTATTGCTTCCTCTCAGTGTAAGAACCGACTTAAAAAAGAGGAAACAAAAAAAGGAACATCGCCTCCACGTGTGCGGTATTTACTCCATACAGAAGATTTATTATCATTGTCCCAAGTGTCACTCGGGTCTCGGACCCTACTCTTGGTTTTGCTGACCCACTATGCTCTATCGACGGAGCTATTCATTTTCCACACTTGATGAATTTTTTGTTTGATAATAATAATCGATGGGAAAAAAACTCCCCCTAGTAACTCCTTAAATAACGTACCTATGTATACTATTTGGGGGGGGGGGGGGAAAGAGTTTAAAAAATAGAGAGTAAAATATAAAAACGCACACGCAGAGAGATGACGAGGCTGCTGTGCCAAGCGTGTCCACGCAACTGCCAGCCGGTCCGCGACTTGGCCCAGGGCTACCGCGAGGCGACAGCCAACGCCGCCATGATGGAACCACCGCGCGACACCGGCCGGCCACTCCTTAGCCTCCAAGAGGTCGAGTCCCGGCTTGTCTTTGCCCGCTGCAAGCCCTTCACCCTCGCCGTCCCCGGCAGACAATGGTAATGTTATATATACTGTCATTTCATTACGCAACAATAAACAAACGACCCCGAAAAGAAAGAGTACGCATATTATATACATCGATTATTGGAAGTTATACTCGGCTACTGGGAGCAAATATACTTATATCCTCCCCACACCCATGAGAGCGGTTAATCGCGGAGCTTAGCACGGGCTTTTTCCCTTGAGTGGTTCCTTTGTACCTTTTTCGCTTTTGCGCGAGAGAGGAGAAAATAACGGGGGGGGGGAGAGGCTTATCGACGCCAATCGCGCATAGATATATAGATACGTAGGGTGCGGGGATTAAAAGTCCATTGTTCCCAAAAAGGTTGTTCGGCGGCGCGTTGGCCAAAGTCGAGGGCCGTGGGAGGCTGCAGCCCACGTGGGCTCTCCTACTGTCGGATCTGCTCGTGTTCGCGCGCATCTCCCGCGACCGGGTCCTCTTCGTCACGGAGGAGCCGCTACGGCTGGCCTGCATTGCCGAGGCATGTTTCACGATACGCAAACGGCCCACCGAGTTCCGGCTCCAAGTCACGACCCAGGTAATATTCATACTCCCTACATATGTATATATACATGTATAAGACAGTGGTCGGAGTATAATGCGTTACGGGTGTATACAGCCGAGCACGCCCGGGGACGGGCAAATGTCGGGCTCGACGGAGATCGTCCAGTGCGGGGGTACGGGCGGTGGAGTCGGGGTAGGCGGTGGGTGCAGTCCCCACGGTAGGCCCAGGCGGCGAGTGCTCATCCTACGGGCGCCCAGTCCCGAGCTCAAGGCCGTCTGGCACAACCTTCTCCAGCGGCAAATGTAAATTTAACACCACCGACTATGTCGCTCGTACAAAACCGTATTATCCTAGATTTTTTTTTTTTGTTTTTTTTATTACATCTTTTGCTTGCATCATTGATTTTCTTTTTTTTGTAGATGACTGTTAGAAGACGGAGGTGGTTAGCAATGCTGACACTGCTGTTATGTTGTTATCATTATTACCGTCACTCGCTACTGACACGTAGAATTGCTATTATATCATATTATTGTAAGGATACACACACACGCTGAATTTTGCATCCATGTTGTAAATTAAGTCGTTGCAAGGCATCTGATTTTTATTTACTTATATGGACTGTCATTTTTGTTTTTATTTATTTATTTATTTATTTTTTTTATTCTATAGCTAGCGTATTTCAAGTAAATTTTTTATCTTAGAGTTAGTTACACTGAAACACTTTTGGTCTTCGTGTACGCGTCCGTGATTTTTCGGGAAAGCAAATTTTAGGTTTTATCATTACTGCACAGACAGATAGTCTCATTTAATGCTTCATAATAATTATAGACAATTTCACATTACTAGAATAGCTTTACCGATGCACCTAACTGTATCGAAAACTACACTGTCAATAATTATTGCTATATCGATGCTTACATACCAATAAAAGTTCTGATCAACGTGGCGCGTATACCGAGACCGAATATTCGTACATTAATTGATCTCAATATGTTGTACCTCTTATTGATCGAAAGTCATATAAGATTAATAAGTTAGAGTTTCAATGTTATAAAAAAACTTGTCAGTTGTGATTAAAGTATATACATATATGATTGTTATATACGCACAAAAAGTTAATTTTATATACGTAAGATTCAAATTTTTTTTTTTATGCTTATAAGTGATACATAATATTAATATTACGTTTCATATTTAATGTGTAATAGTTTTAATCTTAAGGTGATAGTTTGTTTGCATGATTTATAAATGGTATGGATAAACAATTTTATAATATACGCACTAAAGAGATTTTTTAACGAAAGATTATATAGCGTTATAAAATGTAAGACGTTTGTTGATATGGCTAAATTTGTTGAAAAATTTTAATGAAAATATTTTGTTGACAGTGAACACGGATATGTTTAAAAATTGATTTATTCTGCTGAAAATAACACGAAATGACATTGTAGCCTTAAAAATGTACTGTAAGATAAATAAAAATCAAATGATCATAGATTTGATTTTTTTAATAAAAAAAGAAAAAAAAAGAAAAATAAATAATCAGCCACTCACTTTGGTTAACTTTCGACTCTTCTTACGATACCTGAGCCAAAAAGGTTAATTAAAGGAATTACACACGCACTCACACCGCGCATCGAACACAAAAAAAATTTAACTATAACCACAGCACGCTGTAAGCATGTCATTTTAAATATTACAAGTAACAAGAAGAAGAAGAAAAAAAAAAAAAAACCTAATAGGACTCTCCAAAGAGACAGAGAGAAACAGAGAGTGGGGAGGGTAACGGGTTCGCCTTTTCCTGCAGGAGCTATGGCTCTTTTATAATAAATATAACATGTATACAGTACGGCACACATAACTGCAGGGCGGAACTTGAGAGAGAGAGAGAGGGAGAGAGAGGCTGTAAAAAGAGAGAAAGAGGTCCCCGACAACGAAAATTGCCGGGTTAGGCAGCCCAAATTGGCCCGGCAGTTGGACAATCAGCCCTATTACGGCTCTCTCGCTTTTTGTGCGTTTATAAGGTATGCTCGTGTGTGTGCGCGTACCCTCTCAGTATACGCACACGCGTACATTCTCTTTTTTTTTTTTTTTTTTTTTTTTT